GTTAACTCTGCTTTCTCTCCACACATGCTGCCAGCCTGGTGAGTTTCTCAAAACATTTCTGTTTTTGTCTTAGTTTATAAAATGTTTGTTGCTCAATTTTCTGCACAAACTTATTTTGTACGTTACCAAATGCAAAACCAGTGCAATCCAGCAGTGGTTTAAAAGGCGACTGTTAAAAACTAGTTCTTGATAGACTTAAGATTGGTGATCTGATTGCAGTCTGATTAATACAGCGAAAATGATTTTATCACAAATTATATATATATAATTAATCAGTGTTTCAAGTTCATTATGTGTAAATAGCCCAATTTTAAATAAGTGAAAAGGACAACATAACTACAGGCAATCTTTTGTTGGTTATTACTTTATTTCTTTCTTTCATTAATTAATCAGAAGTCACATGACACCAGGTTATAGTCCAACAGGTTTATTTGAAATCACAAGCTTTCAGAATGCTGCTCCTTCGTCAGATGAGGATGAATAAGCCTGTTGGACTATAACCTCGTGTGACTTCTGACCTTGCCCATCCCAGTCTGACACCAGCACCTCCACATCATTCATTCACAAGGTGTAGATCTGCTGGCTAGCTCAGCATTTACTGCCAATCCTTAAATGCCCAGAGGACAGTTAAGAGTCAACATGTACGCCACACCAGGTAAGGATGGCAGCATCCTTGCCTAAAGGACATTAGCAACACAGATGGGTTTTCTCAATAATTGACAACAGTTCATGGTTCCCATTAGGCTCTTAATTCCAGATTTTATTTCAAATAATTGAATTAGACTCAAACCCAGATCTCCAAAATATTACCTGTCTGTCTGGATTAACAGCCCAGTGGTAATACCACTAAGCCATCGCCTCCCCAATATTCAATGCCTCAGTAAACTGAAAAAGCAATAATATGCCCTGTATCAAAATTAAATGCAATTGTAACAGCCGCTTTGAAGATGCACAGACAGGCGCAATTGGTGAAACTTGTCATGTTGATTACTTTGGTATAGGGCCTAGTGAATTTATTGGTTACACTAGCTCTCAATCTTGATTTTTTTCCGAAAGAAATGACAACAAAGATTGCAGAAATCACTTTACGTTCTAAATTCTATAATCTTTGTGCTAACTTGGCTATTACTTTGGATGAATTGTATTGGGGAATAAAAAGTAAACTGGTGGAAATTCTTTCTAATCTTGTGCTCTCAATTTTGTTTTAAAAGTCCTTACAGTGTGAAAGCAGGCCATTTGGCCCATCGAGTCCACACTGACCCGCCAAAGAGTACCCCACCCAGGCCTACCCTGTAACCCTGTATTTTCCATAGCCTGCATATCCCAGGACACTATTGGCCAATCCATCTAACCTACGCATCTTTGGACTGTGGGAGGTAATTGGAGCACCCAGAGGAAACCCACGCAGACAGACAGAGAACATGCAAACTCCACACAGGCAGTCGCCCAAGGGTGGAATTGAATCTGGCTCCCTGGTCCTATGAGGCAGCAGTGCTAATCACTTAGCCACCATGCCACCACTTTTCTCCACATAGTGCTTACTACTGTACAGCTGTAAATCTGATTAGGATGTTTCAGAATGTCCTTGAAGTTCATTTGGCCAGAGGTGGTTGTGGTAGTGAGGACTAGGATAACCACCACCAGCAATTCATAACCTGATTATCCAGTTGGATTGGCCTCAAATGAACAGCAAATTGTTACACAATCCTTTCTTTTTTACTTCCTATTTCTACCTATTTACATTCTTTCATGTCCATTTCCTCCTCCTGCCTGGCAGGTAGGGTGAACTGAGTCAGTGCTGCTGTTCCTTTAAAATTACGTTGCGATTGGAAAACAGGAGACGTAGTTCTGATCAGACTGATTTTTTGAGTTTTCTATCTGTCCAAGGTGCAGAAGAGTTCAGTTACGAGGGCTTATCCTTTCCTTCTGCAATCTTAGTAGGAAGCTGCTTTCACAGGGAACACCGAATGTGAAAATATGGATATGCCACCTTAGATTTGTGGCCCAATATAATTAATACACTGTGCTGCATAATTTTCCATTAACCGAGAGAAACTGGTTTCTAAACTTCATTACAAAATTGCTCGTCTCTTCTAACACCACAAAGCAAGCATCAATAGACAGACTAGGTTTGAACTTGGTGCTTTGGAGGTTTGTGAAACAAATGTTTTGTTAACAGAGTTCTGACACATGTTGATTTTGTATTTTTTTTGACCTATGTTTCATTTAAAGCTGCTCTTAAAATCAATTGTAACATTAAAAACCCAGACTCAGTTTTTCACCAATCTGCCATACTCACCTCAGACACATTTTACTTCTTCTGCATTTAACCTACATTGCATTCTGAGTAGTAATACATAATTTCTATGGTAGGGCATAAATACTATACAAAGTTTATCTTAGCTTACAGGTTTGATAGAGCTTTGTCCTATTCAGCTTTGTTGCCTGAGGTCCATATTATAATGTTAATGAGCTGAGTGGGACTGTGATATGTCTCCTATTTATTTCACTATGGAAAATAAAAAAATAGTGACATTTTGATAGCAAATTTCTTTTAGAGTAAAGTTAGTATGTGGTATATTAATCATTAGGTATGAAATTATTGCTTGCTTGTCTAACAAAAAAAATCACTGCAAGGCAATTTATTTTGTTATAATTGCTAATGAGAGTCTACTAAGAGATAAATAAATGCAAATCATTTGTGCTTTATTACTTATTTTTATTGTGTCACTATTAAGAATTATCAACAATACTTATTTCTTGTGAATTATAAAGTCATTCTCATTGGTCAAATATACATTATCAATTTATACAAACAGAACGGACATTAAATTAGTTACAGCAAGTGGCAGATAAAACCTGAGATTCGTGCCCTGTATTTTGCGGATTGTGGATACTCTGCAGCTTCTCCAAATGGAAATGGAACCTCTGATCTTGAAGACCCATCCCATTTCTGATTGATCTCGTTTTCATGAGTAGGGGAAAGGGGTGGGATGTGATTCACTCATTATGGGAAACCTGAACTCAACATACCCCCATAACATAACCATGGCAGAAGTACAGACTGCCCAGAAAAGGCATTGAAAGAAATAATTTCAGGTAGAATTTTTGTGGCTCAGGAAGGTGGAGAAGGACTCTTCCAAGATCACAAAGATGCTGTGGATTTCATTTGCTTTTAATCACTTCTAATCCTGCCCATTCCAACTGTTGTCCTCTCCAACCAATCTCCTTCCTCACTCACGTTGTCAGGAATCATTTCCTTTGGTGTCCAGTGATATTCTGACCCTCTGTGATATTCTGCTTTTGACCACTGATGAAGACGTCATTGCTGATGTATTCAAACAAGGCATAAGAGTTCAAACCCACTGGGCGACTTACCCTGATTGGCTGGGTGGAATGTCACTTGCTTTGACAGCTGCACCTGTGATTTCAGCCCCCAAGTTAAAGCAGATTCCCATACCTGTTAAAATCAGTTCAAGGGGTATGGGCATCACTGGCAAGGTCAGAGTATATTGCCCATCCAAAACTGCTCTTAAGACGATAGAGAGTTGCTTCCTTGCAATGCTGCAACCTAGGTGATGGGAATATTTCCAATGCTGATAAGGAAGGGAGTTCCAGGATTTTTGCCACAGTGACAGTGATACATTTCCAAGTTAGATGGAATGTGACTGAGAGGGGAGTTTGCAGTTGGTGGCCTCCCCATGCACTTGTTGCCATTCTCGTCGAGGTGACAAGAGGTCAAATCATATCCCTCCAGTTTACGTCAATATCTTCAGTGGAGACACAACAAAAAAAAAACGCACTGGGGTAAATGTTCTCTGATGAAAGACCCCATGAAGTTTCATAAATTAAGAAGTACATTTCCTGTTGCTGCATAGAGTATTAGTAATTTTTATTCACACGTGGGATGTGGGCATTGATGGCCAGCCAGCATTTATTATCTATGATGTTAGCGTAAGAAGATTTTGAATCCATATTGACAGTCTACAATATGGACTAGATATATGAGTTTACCAGAATCGCGTACACGTGAGAGAAATTGGGCTCATTCTCCTCGGAGCAGAGAAGATTAAGTGGTGATCTTTTTCAGGTGTTGAAAATTATGAAGATTTTTGACAGGGTAAAGAAGGATATTCTGTTTCCACTAGTTGGTATGTCAGTAACTAGGGGTCACAATGTCAAGATTGTCAGCGAGAGAGCTAGGAGTGAGGGACGATGAGAAACTTCTTTACTCAGAATTGTCAGGATTTGGAATGGGCTGCTTGACAGAGTGATGAAGACAGGTTCCATACAAAACAGAGCTTGATATAGATTTGAAAGTGATGAATTTAGAGGGCTATGGAGATATGGTTGAAAAATGGGACTAGCTGCGTAGCTCTTTCCGGAGCCGGTATGGACACAGTGGGTTGAATGGCCCGCTGCTAAACTGTAAAATTCTACATTTCCATGTCCTGATAAGTACTGAAAGTCAGAGGTTTTAATGTGGATAATTTCACACATCAGAGACAAGGTTACATGGGTAATTTCAATACAAGTATAAAGCCACTGACCAGAAAATAAAACACTGCTCCTAATATAAGCTAAAACTCTTTCTGAGGCTTTAAAGGCTGTTATCCAATTTAAATGTTTAATTATAAACTGTTGGAATTGTTTTCATGATTCACTATATGAGAACCCAGACTACTGCTTTGTAATTTCTGCTGTCAATATAGCAATTACCCAGATTTACTTGACATTTATGATTGTAATACTGAAAACATGAAAGGTTTTGAAAATTAAAGTCAGAAAAAAATCGGAAAGATAGGAAAAAGACAATGATATTTACGAGCATTATTTAAATCAATCCCACCCTAAAGTCATGTACCACATCATTGCGAGTTTGCATTACTTCAAAGGAAAGGTCTCTTAAGTTCCAAGTATCAAACTGCTATTTTTAAAAAGCATGGATTTAAATTCGCTTGCAAAATTATTTTTCTGGGTGTTTGGACATGGACATTTACCTGGCTGGCAGAAGGTTGGTGACAGTTCCCTGGCAACTCCCCTTGCAATGTCCGATTCCTGGCGTGCAGCTTGTGCGGCTCCATCTGCTGCATCAGCTTTGGCCCGCGCGTGTGCAGTTCTAGATTCAAAAAAATCAGAAGTAAACGTCAGCAATACACTGCCAGGATTATTCTGTCTTATCCTGTATTATGGGGAGGCGGTGGTGTGGTAATGTCATTGGACTAGTAATCCAGAGTCTTCTTGCTAATGTTCTAAGGACATGGCTTCAAATCCCACCAATTTGAATGATAAATTCCATAAAAATTCTGGATTTAAAGAAGCCTTAATGATGACCATCCTTACCTGGTTGGGCCTACATATGACTGCAAACCCACTGGGCAATTAGGGATGGATAATAAATGGCTGGTTAAGCCAGCAACACCATAACCAAATTCTAAAAAGTCACTGGGTTAATTAGTGACTTGTATAGAATTGTATAATTTAGTAGGATTCTCCCCATCTGAGTCCATGCATACCTTGAATAAAATGACTTGAATGACAATAAAGCAACGACAATATTTTTTATATTTACAGCAAGAGAGGGAAGATATTACTCAGTGATTTTACCATTTAAAGAGCATTATTTTCATCTGCATACATTTTACATGACATTACTATCAAGTGCGTAATCCATTAAACTGTGTATTTTCTCAAATAATTACAACTAAATGATCCCTCATGCCCTCTTGAATAAAGGTAAAAATAGATACTAGTTTCATAAGTATTGGTTTACGGACCAACAAAAGCATCACACAGTTATCAATACAAAAAAAAAAGCAATGGGATGACAGTACTTAATTTAATCACTTTTCCTGGAAAACAAAATATTGTTTTCAATCTGTAACAAATTGTTTTCAACAAAAGTGGACCTTGATCATGCTACAATGAAATGTTTAGAATGATCATAATCTGACTTTTTTTAAGTAACAAAATAATGATGATATTGTGATAAAGGAATCTTGTCAAAGTGTAATAAATTCAACTTTAAAGGAAAGCTATTTCTAATGTTTACCTTTGCTAATATCTTTAATTATCAAACAGGTTTCTGAAGGATCTGTCAGTTTCTTCGGTTTTCCTTTGAAGACTGATTGTCACTGGTTGCTTAATGAACAGAAGTCACTTTACAAACACAAACTCTTGGATTATGCTAACCATGCTGCCCTTGTTAACATAACTGATTAGCAGAGAGGAAAAAAAAAGTCAGCTGACAAACTAGTAAGTGCTGGATGGACATTATACCCAGAGATAGTAGGAACTGCAGATGCTGAAGAAGGGAAGAGTCTAGGCCCGAAACGTCAGCCTTCCTGCTCCTCTGATGCTGCTTGGCCTGCTGTGTTCATCCAGCTCTACACCTTGTTATCTCGGACATTATACCCAGTTGTCCAAAAGGTCATACTCTCAGAGGCATGAAAGGGAGAAAAGCCAGTGCAGCGCCTGCACAGAAAGGCCATCATAACCCCACCGTACATTACTTAGCGTATTTATTCCATGGGTATTCAGAGGATGTGAGCTTCACCAGCTTGCCCATCCTTAGTGGCGGAGAATTGCTGTAATCCATTTGGTGTAGCTACCCCCACAAGATGTTAAGGGCTCAGTTCCAGGATTTTGATCTGTGATAGTGAAGGAACAGTGGTACATTTCCAAGTCAAGAGGTGAGCGGCTTGGAGGGGACGTGCATGTGGTTGTGTCCTGTATATCTGCTGCCATTGTCCTTCTAGATGGTAGTGGTAGCTGGTTTAGAAGGTGTTGTCTAAGGAACCTTGGTGAATTTCTGCAGTGTACTTTGTAGATGGTACTTATCGTTGCTACTGAGCATTGGTGCTGTAGGGAGTGAAAGTTGAGGATGTGCTGGCAATCAAGCATGCTACTTTGTCCTAGATGGTGTCAAGCTTTCATTTGAGTTCACCATTGCCTGTTGGTTGTGTGGTGCGAATGTTACCTTCCATGAGATATAATCCAGTCTTGTTTCATTTGGACATGGACTGTTTTAGTGTGTGAGCAATCATGAATGATGCCAAGCATTTTACAATCATCAGCGAGCATCTCTCTTCAGATCAAGTGAATGTCATTGATGAAGCAATTGGAACAGGGTGCATCTCAGATATCTTCAGTTACTCTCTTTGCACTCTATGATTCTATGATTCACTCAAATATTTTGTGCTTACTTAGATGCTCAGTCTGCCTTACTTTGCCACCACATTCAGAACTTGAAGGCTCACAGTAGTTCTGTCTTACCTTGCTGTTCAGCACAGATACAAAGCAAAGCAGCTCGTCGTGGTTGTCAGCAAAGATCAGTCAAGGGGCTTGGACATGTTTCTGTTTGGCGCCGTGCTGTCAATGCACGCCTGCAACATGTGCCAACAGTTTATGTGCACACTGTATGTGACTCAAACAAATGTGACTCAAACAAATAGCCATGTCCCAAAGGCTAAGGGGAGTAGTCCTCAGACAAGTCAAAGAGGAATTGTCGTCAGTCTAGGGTGTTGCCATAGTCAGTCAAGGGCAGTATCCAATCTCAGTTCATGTTCTTAGACATGTCAGTCAGCAGATTGGAATGGTCAGGGTTAGGACTCCATATCACTGCAGTTACCGTTGTTAAGCTGAAGACTTAATTGAGAGAGTTGTGTGGGGAAGCTCAGATCTGATGAGGTCAACAAGGAGTGAAAGAAAGAATGAGAGGGTTTGGAGACATCCCCTCCACCCCAGATTACCAGGTTGAGCTTGTGATTCACTGTGAAATGTGACCTGTGATGCCTTCTATTCACATCTGAATCGCAAATACGAAATGGAAATAGTCCTGGCGTGTTATGTCATACACAACTAGAACAGTCAAAGAGGGTACATAATGGACAGTGAAGAGCTGGAAGAGCAACAGCTGTGTGGTGATTGGAACCAGGTGGACCTTGTTGACTATGAAATCCCTGATTGGGGTTGTTAACCTGGGCCAATGAGGAGTCCTGGCTGACAGATATAAAACAGGGGATTGAGTGTCTCCTTGCTTCAGGGACTGACTCTGAGCTGGCTGGCTACAGCCACTGTACTGTGCACATGAAAATTAAGGATAACTTGGTGATGGGATACCGGTCTCTATGCTGTTATTTCAAGCGGTCTTCCAGGGGAGGGTGATGAGGACGTTAAGCAAAAGGAACATCACCTTCAGCAGGATACAGCATGCAATGTTTGGCACAACAAGCCAGGCAGGATTTAATTGACCCCGGTTGGATGAAGTGATCATTCATTGACTCTAAATTTATTGTTGCACAAAAGGTAAACAGACCCTTTTTATTCTGTTCGCTTGCTTTTTCTCTTCACTTTTCCTGTTGCTCAATACAAGGTTTTCAACTGCTGAGGGCTTTCCAACATGCAATGCTCCCACACTGAATAATGATCAATGTTATGCTATGCTAGGCATTTAGGAAACCATAGCACTCCCTCAGACAGGGATCTAACATGATTTAGCACTAAAGACAGGTGGCTTGTGGAGCTTGGCTTTTGTAGCTGCAGTCACTATGACAGTTGATCAGACAGGTGATGACATAAGATAGCAATATATTTACAGATGTGAGATTGTGTCTGAAATGAACTACCACTTATGTGCCTTCAGAAGAGTTTCCCTCCCATTATGTGCACTGAGGAGGGCTACTCACAACTGGCAGTGATTGTCCTGGTGCACAGCTAGTTCTTAAGTACGGTGCTGTTTCTATTTGTTTAATTCATTCATTGGATATGAACATTGCTGGCTAGGCCAGCATTTATTGTCCATCCCTAATTAGCCAGGATTCAGGATTTCCAGGAGATCCAGCTGTGATGAGAACATGAAAGTGTAAGTGTGGCACTGTAGAGGCATGATGTATACATTATGTGTTCAGCAGCGTAAAATTACATGAGATGAATTACTAAATCTCACAGAGAGACCCTCTCATGAAATTGATTACCGGCCAATTTTTGGTAAAATTCAACCCACTGTCCCCTAAGTTTTAGATGTTTTTTGCCTTCAAGAGTTTCTGTCTCCTTTTATGTCAAATGTCACTGACCTCTTCACTACAAAATTGGTGCAGTCTCTTAGAAATACTTTTCACAAACTTTCTGACAATTACAAACAAACAGTTATTGATTCTGCCAACGTTTGAAAGAATTTAATGTTTTCCTTAGGATACTGCTTCCAGATCAAACATCATCAGAGGTCACACAACCCCAAGTTATAATCCAACAGGTTTATTTGGAATCACACAAACTTTCAGAGTGCTGCCCCTTCGGCAGGTGCAGTGAGAGAGAAGAGCACACAGACCCAGAGTTTAGAGACAGAGAAATCAAGGGTAGGGAGATCAAAAGATCATACAACTGGTGTAAGTGTCAGATGATAAATCACTGCTGGTGACCAAGAGTGTCAGCTGGTGTGTAACGTGTTTATAAAGTCAATGTCAGCGCTGTGCTGTCATAACAATCAGGCAGAGCCACAACAATATACAAAAGGTGACATCTCAGGTCAAGCACAGAATTGTAGGTGTGAGGCTTTGTTCAGAATCTGTCTCAGAGTTTTAACCTGGAATCAGGCTGGTTTTATTCCAAAAGCTGGAATTTATAAGATGCCACACTGACTGACTGTGACTACAAATTGTGTGTTTTATGAACAAGATAGAATATATCTGCAAATAAACAAACATCTTGAATGAAATGATTCACTGCATAGATTTATATGTGTGTGTGTGTGAGAGAGAGAGGAGGGGAGAGAATGTAAAAAGTAATTCAAAACTGTACAAACTAACTAAAGTAGAGAGATCATAACAATTTACCAAAGTGATGCTGTCAAAACAGGAAAGTAAGCAAGAGTTTACAGATACAGAACAGTGTGGTGACGTGTAGCACAACATGAACCCAAGATCGTGGTTGAGGCTGTCTTCATGGGTACGGAACTTGGCTATCAGCCTCCACTTGGCGATTCAACATTGTTGCCCATCTCAAAGGCTGCCTTGGAGGACATTTACCTGAAGACTGGCCTTGACCGCTGAAGCATTCCCCGACTGGGAAGGAACATTCCTGTCTGGTAATTGTTGCATGGTGTCCATTCATCTGTTGTCATTGTGTCTGCATAGTCTCTCCAATATACCATGCCTTGGGGCATCCTTGCCTGCAGCGTATGAAATAGATAATGTTGGCTGAGTCACGTGCCATGAACGTGGTGTTCCCATGTGTGATGGTAGTGTCCATGTTGATGATCTGACATGTCTTGCAGGGGGTGCCGTGGCATGATTGTGTGGTGTTGTGCTCACTGTTGTCCTGAAGGCTGGGTAGTTTGCTGTGAACAATGGTCTGTTTAAGGTTTGGCAGTTGTTTGAAGGCGAGAAGTAGAGGCGTAGGAAGATTTTGGTGAGATGCTCATTGTCATCGATGACATTTTGAAGGCTGTGAAGAACATGGTGTAGTCTCTCCATTCTGGGGAAGTACTGGACGACGAAGGATACTCTATCAGTCTTATCCTGTGTCTGTCTTCTGAGGTATTTGTTGCGGTTTTTCGCTGTGGCATGTCGGAACTGGCGATCGATGAGTTGAGCATTGTATCCTGTTCTTATGAGGGTGTCTTTCAAAACCTTCAGGTGTCCATCGCGTTCCTCCTCGTCTGAGCACCCACACACTCTCTCTCTCTCTCTCACACACACACACACACACACACAGTCTCTCACTCTCTCCCCCACTCACACACACACACACTCACTCTCTCCCCCTCTCTCTCTCTCACACACACACACACACACACTCACTCTCCCCCTCTCTCTCTCACACACACACACACACACACTCACTCTCTCCCCCTCTCTCTCTCACACACACACACACACACTCTCTCCCCCTCTCTCACACACACACTCACTCTCTCCCCCTCTCTCTCACACACACACATACACAGATGTACACACTCACACACACAGACTCATACACATACACTCTCACTCTCAGCGCTGACATTGACTTTATAAACACTTTCCACACCGTCTAACACTCTTGGTCACCAGCAGAGGCTTATCATCTGACACTCCACTCACACCGGTTGTATGATCTCTTGATCTCTCTGTCTATAAACTCTCTCACTGCACCTGCCAAAGGGGCTGCACTCCAAAAGCTTGTGAGATTCGAAATAACCTGTTGGACTATAATCTGGTGTCATGTGACTTCTGACTGTGTCCACTCCAGTCCAACACCAGCACCTTCACATAAGATCTAACATCAACACTCCTGTTCATTGAATCAATGATGAGGAATCTTGGGTTTGGGACAACAGTTGCTGAAGCATGTTATACTTGGTGACTCAGCGTAGATGCTTTCCACACTTTGTTGCAGAAGGGACTGAGACTTCACACCAACAAACATAACCAAGAGTCTAGATATAGCGTACATCCATATTTTCCTCAGGAAAATGATAAAAGATACAGAGTCTGCATGATGAATTCTATTTCACACATGCTACTGGTTAATGAGCTTCTGCTATCAGCTGTCCATCCAGTAAGAGCTCAAATTTTCAATTATACTACATGGTTGATAGCAACAACTTGCTGGGTAAAATCCTTTCATCAAATCAGGTGATATAACTGACTGTCCACAAACAACGAGATAATTGACTAGGTAATGTATTTCAGAGATGCTGATTGAGTGAAATATTAGGCAGGGCATCAGAAGGACCCTCCTACTCTTTGAATCATAGAATCCCTACAGTGTGGAAACAGGCCATTAAGCTCATACTAACCCTCCAAAGAGCATACCACCCAAACCCACCCCTCCCCTGTATTTCCCATGGCTAACCCATCTAGCCTGCATATCCCTGGATTCTATGGGTAATTTAGCATGGCTAATCCACATCTTTGGACTGTGGGAGGAAACCAAAGCACCCAGAAGAAACCCAGGGAGAATGTGCAAACTCCATACAAAGTCGCTCGAGGCTAGAATCGAACCTGGGTCCCTGGGGTTGTGAGGCAGTAGTGCTAACCACTGAGCCACCCTAGTAACTACTTCACGGGGTTTCATGGATGTTACCTGAAAAAAAATGTTGCATATTTCTTGTAAATGACAATATATCTAATAATGCAACTCCCTTTCAGTGTATTACTCAAGAATCTAGAATATGCTTAATTGAAAGCACATGATGTTTTGAAATATGGACAGAATAGGCAATAACCTGCTCACTAATGCTCAGTTTATGTTTGGCGAGGGCTACTCAGCTTTTGACTTCATTGCAGCCCTGTGTCAAACATCTCACATTGTCACTGGGGTATTCAGCAAAGATAATATCAATATCCTGAAGGCTACCATCGATCAGAACCTGAAATGACCCAGCCACTATAAATACCGTGGCTACAAAAGCTGAAAATTCTACAGCAAGTAACCTACCTTTTGTCTCCCCAATGCCTGGCCACAAGGGACAAGTCAGGAGTGGCTTGTAATATTTTTCACTTGCCTGGAGGGGAACTGTTCCGACCACACAAAAGAAGCTCAACTCCATCCAGAACAAAGCTTCCCACTTGATTGGTCTCAATCCACGACCTTCAACATTCACTTCCTTCACCACCAATGCACACTCACAGCAGTGTGTGTACCACGCAAAAGATGTACATGCACCTTCAACAGCGCCTTTCAAACCCATGACCTCTACCACCTAGAAGAACAAGGGCAGCAGATGCAATGGGAACATCATCACCTGCAAGTTCTCCTCCAAGCCACACACCGCCCTGTCTTTGAATGATATTGTTGTTCCTTCGTTGTTGCAGGGTAAAAGTCCTGAAACTGCCTTCCCAGCATCACTGTGGGTGCACCAGAAGACAGCTCATCACCACCTTCCCAAAAGCAATTAAGGACAGGCAATAAAAGCTGGTGATGCTCACATCCCTTAAACAAATATAAATAAAAAGCACTGAGCCAAAGCTGACATAATGGACTTCCTGTCTTCAGGGCAAGATACTGGTCCCATCACTAACATCTCCTGTGTCAGGAACTTGCTATAGTTACAAGGAAATCCCACAGAAAGCAGTGAAATCTTCAGCTCTGATGAAGAGTCATCTAGGCTCAAAACATTTGCTTGCTCTCTCTGCACGGATGCTGCCTGACCTGCTGTGATCTCCAGCATTTTGTTGTTTTCAGTGAAAGGTCAGCCTTCATTTACACGCAGCTGAACAGTCCCAGTGCACGATTGGCAATTGGGCCGATGAGAAGAAAATTGTGATGAATACTGTTATGGAAGGAAAATCCAGGCGTTATTAAATCTTTGAAAAGCATTTTAATAAAAATTCCTTTTCTTCTTTCCTACACGTACTGTACCTAAATGCAGTCCTTTGCTTCATTGTCTGATGTTTTATCCTGAATCATTGCCTTCCACCCTCATGACTAGGATAAGGAGGCAGGCCCCAAGTCTATTTCGGCCAGAACAGGAACTGAACCACGTCCTTAGTGTTAATCTAAACCACACATTATCCATCTGACTGATTCAGCTAACTGACCCCCCATAAGGTTTCCATTACATCCCAGAATTTAGCAAGATGAGAAAGTGCTGAGGTTTGTGATATGGCCTTGATATAGCTATAGTTAGGCTATGAAATTTGATCAACTACGTATCACACTAAAGCACTGAAACACTAGGAGAAAACAGCTGCAAGTTATTGTTGCATATTTTTTGATAATGTTTCTGAGAGATGTTTGAGGATTTTGGGGATGTGTGTGTTAATTCGCTCAGTGTTTCCAAATATATAGTAATTGCTGGAGGAGCCAGTTCTCATGCTTTCATGAATATAAAAATTTGAAGTTCTGTAAGTTAAGAAATGAAATGTTAGACTGTAGCCGAAATTGGATTCGTTTGTTAATAAATCATCTACTCACATCATAGCGTATTAATGTATCTATTCTGCTCAATATTTAAAATATGACGCAAAACTCGGAGTATAACAGGACCTTGTTCAGTTGGGCCATTGGGCTGAGGAGTGGCAAATGGAGTTTAATTTAGATAAATGCGAGGTGTTGCATTTTGGTAGGGCAGGACTTACACACTTAATGGTCAGATCCTGAGAGAAAGTTGCTGAACAAAGAGACCTTCGAATGTAGGTTCACAGTTCCTTGAAGGTGGAGTCCAAGGTAGATATGGTAGAGAAGGCATTTAGTACACTTGCCTTTATTGGTCAGTGCATTGAGTATAGGAGTTGGGAGATTATGTTACAGTTGTACAGCACTTTGGTTAGGCCACTATTAGAAAACTGTACTCAATTCTGGTCTCCCTGCAAGAGGAAAGATGTTGTTAAACTTGAAAGGGTTCAGAAAAGATTTACAAGGATATTGTCAAGATTGGAGGGTTTGAGGTATAAGGAGAGGCTGATTAGGCTGGGACTATTTTCCTTGGAGTATCAGAGGCTGAGGGGTGACCTCAGAGGTTTAGAAAATCATGAGGGGCATGGATAGGGTGAATTGCTGAAGTCTTTTTCCCAGGGAAGGGGAATCCAAAACTAAGGGTATAGGTTTAACGTGAGGGTGGCTAAAATTTAAAAGGGTCCTGAGGGGCAACTTTTTCGCACAGAAGGTGGTGTATATATGGAATGCCAGAGGAAGTGATGGAGGCTGGTACAATTACAATATTTAAAAGGCATGGGTACGTGAATACAAAGTGGTCCGAGGGATGTGGCCAAATGCTGGCAAATGGGACTAGATTAATTTAGGATATCTGGTTGTCACAGATGGGTGGGACTGAAGGGTCTGTTTCCGTGCTATACAAGTCTATGACTCTATAAGTAGACAGAGAGGTTTAGGCTCCTACCCTCTAAAACTACATATGATTACTTTTATTTGTCAATAAACATGCTAGGATGATGAGCAAATTATCTGGGAGTAATTGGAAATTAAATGACTTGAAGAAGTTTAAGCAGCTTCTAAAAATCATCTGGATATGGACCTGGAATAAAGGCTGCAGCCTTTACCTAACAATGCTTTTAATATTGCATTCAAAAAGTTATGATGTTCATCGTGATTGTAAAGGAGATGCATTACTAACAAGTGCAGGATTAAGGTGATATTATTGCCTTGGAGTCTTTAGACAGGCCACAGCTCATGTCTATAGACACTCCACTGTTACTGCATTACCACAGCATGAAAACTTGTTCAGGACCTGCAGAATTCTCTCACCTGCAATTGCATTAAATTCTCTTGTCTTTGCTGAAGTTACAGCAACTTGGATTTATAAGTGACTTGAACATACTAAGACGCTCTTCATGGGTACATAATCAGACAAACGTTGACATCAACCAAAGATTGGTCAAAGGTTTAAGGACAGTCTAAAAGGTTCAGAAGTGGCCAAGTTTAGAGAGGATGTTTCAGAGTCCTGGACCGACATTGCTAAAGGCCTTGCTGCTGATGCTTGGACAAAGGGGCAGAATTTTATACCCCTGGCTGGTGTACCAGTTTCCCACTGCCTGGTTATTTTTTTTGGGCATGGGACGAGGAAGATGGCAAGGATACCTGCCATCAAGTGACAGATAACCAATTCTGCTAATGGCCAGTTAAGGCCTATTGTCGGGGGAAGTTACTGAAATTTTCTAATTGGCTGTGACGAAATTCCATATGTCCGTAAAGACTCTTACCGATTTTTATAGATGCATAACAGAAAGCATTCTACTTGGATGCATCGCAGCTCAGAATGGCAACTGCTCTGCCCAGGACCCCAAGAAACTAGAGAGTTGTGAACACAGCCCAGTCCATCACACAAGCCAACCTTCCATCCATTGACTCCATGTATACTCCTTGCTGCCTCGGGAAGACAGCCAACATCAAAGATCCCTCCAGCCCCGGATATAATCTCTTCCGCAGAAGATACAAAAGGTGAAACACACAGACCAACAGATTCAAGCACTGCTTCTTCCCCACTGTTATGAGACTTCTGAATGGACCTTTCAAATTTCAAATCTCATGTTGATCTCGCTCCTTGTGCACCTTCTCTGCGGCCATAACATTGTATTCCTCGCTCTGTTCTATTACCCTTATGCACTTTGTATGGTTTGATACACCTGTACTGCAAGCCCAACAAATCTTTTCACTGTATAGGTACATGTGACAACAATACCTCAAATCAAATCAAGAAGACGAGGAACAGTACAGGTGCCTGGAGGTGGCCTCCCAGTGTCAGACTGAGTGGGCAACACTGCACACATGCTGAGAAGCTCCACCTTTCTGACTGGCCACAATTGCAACCAGCAGCAGTTTTGAAAACCTGCATGCTGTCCTTAATTGGACAGTGAACTAGTCCTTCGGCCATTATTTGGGTCAATTCAGGGCAAATCACAACTGGGTTATCATTCCCCACAAAGGGTGGGCTTCTGACCCCAGACGGAATTCTGTCAATCCGTGAGGAAAATCTTGTTCGGCATAATTGAAAGCACAGACGGGTCTGAAAGAGATGGTGAGAATTTTAAAGTTAATGCATTAATGGCATGCATGCATTTAAAACTAAGGCTAGTGTCGAAATGGCTGAAGAATGTTGATGTGCAATGCTACCAATACAATACTGTCAACAAACTTCTAGGCTTTTATCTAAAGTAACACGGCCTGTAATGTGACAAAATCTCAACAAGCAGGGATTAAGCAAGCATTGCTGAGGATCAGTACAGGCAGCAGTTGCTGGAAGTGGGTCATAACTGGGAAAAAAGCCAACAGATAAGATGGTGGAGTTGAGCAAGAAGAGCTCAGTAGAATGACGACATCAGATAGTCAACAAAGAAGCCAACAGGAAGGGCACAGTGATAAGGACTTGCACTGGGTAATTACAAATAGGCTGACAGCATTTGAGATCAAACAACAGTAGCTGATATTGTTGCCATCTGTTAAACAGTCAGCCATTTATTTAAACAACAATTACTGCCTCCATTTCTAAACAAGTTCAATTGTTATAAACAACAAAAACAGAAATTGCTGGAAAAGCTCAGCAGGTCTGGCAGCATCTGTGAAGAGAAACCAGAGTTAACGTTTCGGGTCCAGTGACCCTTCCTCAGAACTGACGGTAGCAGGGAAAATGTCGGCTTATATGGAGAAAATAGGGAGGTGGGTGGGGTAAGGAGTAAACGATAGGATAGAGCCTGAAGAGAGAGAAGAGCAGTTGGACAGACAAAGGAGTTGATAACAATCTGGCTGGGAGGGTGAATAGCTGTTAATGGGGACTGTTAGTGACTAATAACAGGTAATGTATTGGCAGGCTATGTGGTAACAAGGCCTGGTGTGCGGGGTAGGGGGCTAAGACATGGTAGAGTTTAGGCTTTAAAATTATTGGACTCTATATTGAGTCCGGAGGGCTGCAGGGTCCCCAAGTGGAAAATGAGGTGTTGTTCTTCCAGTTTGCATTGAGGTTTGCTGGAACACTGCAGCAAGCCAGAGACAGAGATGTTGGCCAGGGAGCAGGGTGGTGCATTGAAGTGGCAGGCAACAGGTAGTTCAGGGTCTTTTTTTGCGAGCAGAACGTAGATGTTCTGCGAAGCGGTCGCCATGTCTATGCTTCGTTTCCCCAATGTAGAGGAGACCACATTGTGAGCAGCCAATGCAGCAGACTAGGTTCTGGGAAGTGCAGGTGAAGTGCTGTTTCACCTGGAAGCTATGTTTGGGCCCTTGGATACTGGGGAGGGAGGAGGTAAATGGGCTGGTTACAGGGGAAGGTGCTGTAGGGCTGTGGGGGTGGGGGTGTTGGGGGTGAAGGAAGTGTGGACCAGGGTGTCCGGGAGGGAACGGTCCCTGCGGAAGACGGACAAGGGAGGGAAGGGGAGGGGAATATGTGTCTGGTGGTCACCTTTTGCTGGAGGTGGCAAAAATGGCAGCTGATGATCTTCTGGATGTGGATGCTGGTGGGATGGTAGGTGAGGATAAGGGGAACCCTATTGCTGTTGTGGGAGGGAAGAGAAGGGGGTGAGGGCGGAAGTGCTGGAGATGGGTTGGACCCGGTTGAGGGCCCTGTCAACAACGGAGCTGGGGAATCCTTGGTTGAGGAAGAAGGTGGACATATTGGAGGCTTCATTGTTGAAGTTGGCTTCATCTGAACATATGCGACAGACTGTTTTACAGCATCCGCAGTTCTTTCAGTTTTTATCAATTACTGTTGAATTGCTGAAATTTAAGTAGATAGGTCATTAGTAGTGGAACTACCCGAGCAACAGACGGGATGACTTTTTTTTACAAAACACCTGGCTGTAATTTTAGATAACAAGGTGTAGAGCTGGATGAACACAGCAGGCCAAGGAACATCAGAAGAGCAGGAAGGCTGACGTTTCGGGCCTAGACCTTTGCTCCTCTGATGCTGCTTGGCCTGCTGTGTTCATCCAGCTCTACACCTTGTTATCTCAGATTCTCCAGCATCTGCAGTTCCTGCTATGGCTGTAATTTTAACTGGAGCATAGCATTTTAATTGGTCAGAAGCTTGAATGAAGAAAAATGGAAGAAAAAGACATAAAGAACAAAAAAAATTAACATTTAAAATGACTAACACAATTCACAACCTGAAAGATTGTGACTCCACATTATAATAGCTCATATTCAGATCCACAGAGCTTGACTGGTAGTTACTAACACCATCATCATGTCATTAAAAGGATAGTTGCACGTAATTACCAGCCCAAAATATTTGTGGCGGGTTTAGCACATGCAGGCCATCTAAATAAAACAACATCACACCATTAAATGCATTTTATTGGTGAGGCAAACTGCGAGGTACCATTTTCACAAAGTTAATGGTGGAACAGCATAATTCGGACAGCAAAATTTGGAGATTTGTTTTTCGCCAATTTTCTACACTCACCTAAGTTGCTACATCGTTCATGCACTAATAGTGGTAGCTGATCTCACAACTACACAGACTTAAAAAAATAATCTGTCCCTACACCCATCATGAACTTCTCAGCCAAGTCAAATTTAATTTTGTTTCTTGCAGGTTATGAAGAGATGAAATCATTACATGCAAGACAAATTGATGCCTACATTCTTTTTTTTTATTTGTTTTCTTTTTCATTAAAACATTACGTAAAACATTGGTCAGCAATACTTAATAATAGTAAATAGAACAGTATAGATACCAATGCTTTACAGATATCAGAAATGAAACAAAATGCTAATTCATTCTGAATCAGCTGCAGAATACGGGGAGGGATTAGCTCATATCGGCAATATGCTTTCAATCACATCTAACTATAATGACAGTGACAACCAAACAGGGTTATCTTGGAGTTTTTAGTGATATAATCCTTCAGACCGGTAGAGCAGGAATTTTGGCATTTTAAGTAGCTGCTCTGTCATGTCGTGTGTGCTGATTATCCGACTTTATAATTCCATGCTTCTAAAATTAGCAAAATGAGAATGAGCATTTTGTGTTGATCACAGACTCTGCAAAATGGTCCATCAAGTTAACACACTGTATACCATTTTCAAATGATTGTACATATTTCCACATTTGAACTTGAAGTCAGGAGTCACAAGGAGGTAATATATAAGAAAAAACTCTTTGGCCCAGCAATAAGTGGAAATTGCCATGGACTGCTATCTGCATGGGTGTCTTCAATAATATTAAATGAAGAAAATTAAAGTTGCCATGAGAGATAGTCTGTGGCATTGCCTATCCCTAGGGATCAATGTAGGTGCTTCACAAAACAACATGGTCCCCACAGTTCTCATTAATTGGCCCAATGAGTCCACGGCAGCAATAAAAACAGAAAAACTCAACAGGTCTGTGGTGACAGAAACAGAGGAAACATTTCAAGTCACTGAACTGTTATGGTGCAGAAGTGGGGCAATTAGCTCATCACATCTGATTTGGCTATCTGATGAGCACTATGTCAATGCTACTCTCCTGCCTTTTTCACGTACACTTGTACATTGCTCATATTCAAATAATGATCCAATGCCCTCTTGAATGCCTCAATTAAACTTACCACACTTCCAGGCACTGCACCCCAGACCCGAAACACTCATGTGATAAAGTTTATTCTCACAGCACATTGCTGTGTTTGCAAATCATTCTAATTCTGTGCTCTATCATTTGTGACTCTTTTGAGCAGAACAGTTTATCCTTATCTACTCTATCCAAACCTCTCTCAATTTTGAGAACTTCTACGTGATCGCCTCTCAGCCTTCATCTCTCCAAGGAGAACTGGCACAACCTCTCTAATCTATCCTATAACACAAGTTTCTCATCCCGGAACAATTCTCGAGAACCTTTTCTGCACGGCCTCCAATACATTTACACTCTTCTTACAGTGTGGCACTCAGAACCGTGCACAACACTTCAGCTGAGGTCATTGAAGTGTCTTGTTTAAGTTCAGCAGAACCTCCTTGTTCTTGTACTCTATGCCCCACAGCCCAGAATACTTTGTGGTTTATTAACTGTCCTCTCCACCTGTTCTGCTGCCTTCAGTGATCTATGCACATCTACACCCAGCTCCCTCTGCTCCTGCATCCTTAAGTATTGAAGTCCCTATTTTATATTGACTTTCCATATTTTTCTGACCAAAATGCACCACTTCACTTCTCGAACTTCATCTGCCACATAATTGCTCACAACACCAATGTGTCTATTTCCTTCTGGAGATCTTCACTGTCCTCTTCACAGTTTACAATCCTTCCAAGTTTCGCATCATCCTCAAACTTGGAAATTGTGTCCAGCACACCAGGTTCTAGAAAATTCCTTTAAATCAGGAAAAACAAGGATTCCAATACCAACCTACTACAGATTTTCCAGCAGTCAGAAAAATATCCATTAACCACTCTACACTCTGCTTGCCATCACTCAGCAAATTTTGTATCTACATTAGTACTGTCCTCTTATTCCACAAGCTATAAATTTCCTAGCAAATCTGCTGCATGGCATTGTATTTTTATTAGTGGGATGTGGGCATCGCTGGCTGGCCAGCATTTATTACCCTTTCCCCAGTTGCCCTTGAGAAGGTGGTGGTGAGCTGCCTTCTTGAACTGCTGCAGTCCATGTGCTAGACGTTGACCCACAATGCCCTTAGGAAGGGAATTCCAGGATTTTGACCCAGAGTCACTGAAGGAACAGTGATTTATTTCCAAGTTGGGATGGTGAGTCACTTGGAAGGGAACTTGCAGGTGGTGGCGTTCCCATGTATCTGCTGCCCTTGTCCTTCTAGATGGATGTGGTTGTGGTTCTAAGTCTCTTTAGTGAACTTCTGCAGTGCATCCTGTAACTAGTGTCAGTAGTGGAGAGAATGAATACCTGTATACCTTTTGTTTATTCCAATAGGACTCATATTGGACTAGGAATATTAACAGTTTCTCACTCCACAGATGCTGCCTGAGCTGCTGAGCTCTACCAGCACTTTCAGGTTTTATTTCAGATTTTATTCCAGTATCTGTAGTTTTTCACTTTCACTTTGATCCACCGTGGTGCTTGTGCTCCAACAGAGTCTCCTCCCTCCCTACTCGTCCAACTCAGATGTTCTGCAGCTATCTATGTTATGATAGAATACAGACTGAAAACTTCATAATTCCCAAGTGATCGGGAATTACTCATCATCCATGGCCTCTTATCAAGTTACTTTCTATTGTTAATAGTGATCAATGCCGTCACCAACGGACAAGAAATGACTAGGAAAATTTATGCTAGTGATACTTAAAACATGGTAATTGGCTTCCTGCAAATGTGTACAGAAATTCCGATGATGTCATTTTTGACACACAAAATTCTGTATTTGTTAGTTTTCCTTGTCAAATCAGGTCTGCAATCTTATTTGGTGAACTTCATTTCGTAAATAGCAAACCAAGATCCGTGAGCGCTGTCACTTCTCTCACAAACATTGAAAATTTAGTTAGTCCACATCAATGCAATGTTTTATGACTTTGTTACGATGAATCCTCCTTCTAATCAAAGTGTACTTACTGTTGGTTCCCATTTACAGAGTTGAATAATATTAAAAAGCAAAATCTAACTGAACATGCATATTGACACATTTTTTTAGTAAGTTCAAACCTGGACACTACTGAAATAGAGATGATATTTGTCCAATATTTTGTTACATTTGGTTCACATTTTTCCACTGTAAAATATTACTTTAAATTAACCAATGATATTTGTAGAATATTGAT